ATAAATTGGTGATTTAACTTGTCGTAATGATGAAAACAATTTATAGAAAAAAAAATTGAATAATAATTTATTAATATAATAAATGTAATTATTAATTTACTAAATTTAAGTGCTAGAATAAAATCACAAAACAAAACAATAAATAAACTTGTTATATTAATACTTTTTGTTCATTATTTGATACAAAAATTAATAATTCAAAACATGAAATATCTCAAACAATTTATCAACAACAACCAAAAAGCAAAAAAATAAAACTTATAACATCACTCTCGCACTTTTTATTTTTATATTTTCATTTTTTAAAAATATAAATATTATAAAGAAATAATAACCAACAAATAACACCAAAAATTATTTGTTTTTTTCGCAATTTTTATAATGTTCTAGATACTCAGGAAACAATTTCAATCTTTCACACGAAAAAGAGTGGTTGCAGGGAATAGAAGGAATGTTATCAATTGTCTTTTTTGTTACATATTGTTGAAAATTGGGCTTTGTACTAATCTGAATCGTTGTTTATTTTATAGATATTTATTCTGTTGATATCAACACTGTTTATGGCACAAATATATTTACAAAAATTAATTACTTTATTATATTATCTGATTTTTTAAACAATTTTTATTAAATAATTATTTTAATTTAAAACTAAACCAAATTTTAAATAAATAGCAATTTTTTTATTATTTTTTTGTTTTATTTGGTTATTGTAAAAAATATTGTAAAATACTTGTTGTGTTAAATAACGCTTGAGAACGTAACATTGAATATACTCATAATCTAAACAATCAAGAATACAAGAGCTCGATTCATGTATAAAAGTGTTTTTGGCATCTTTTTGTGCTTCAAATGTCGAATTTTTGATAATAATTATTAAATGATGTTTATATTATAATATAACTATTGTTATTAGTTTATTTTTAAACAAAAGATTCAATTTTTTGTAATAATTTGGATCAGCTTTTTCAAACATAGTCTATCAACATAACATGATGTTTAAAATCAATTTCAATAATAGGAACATGACAGGCACTGTAAAATGTTTATCTCTATATTACATAATTAACTTTTAATGAACAAAAGTTATTTTAACACCGAGTCATTTTTCTTCTCTCTATTATAATCCTTTTGTTTTTATAACGTTCATTTTACAAAATAATATTACAAAAATATATACCACGTGAAGTGTGTATCAAGTCATCAATATGATTTTATAAAACACGTTTGAATATCGAAGAAACGGTTTCTATTTTTTATTTTACTAAAAAAACTCGAGTCGTTTTTCTCCTCTCCAAATTATTTTTTTTATTAAAAATATATATTTTTTACCCGTCACGCCTCTCCGAGACAAGAAAAAAGAAAAAATTTCTCATTTTGTATTTTTGTAAAACGAAAAAAAACAAAAATCCATTCCAAAATGTCTTTGGTCTGATTGGGTAAAAATTGAAAATAAAAATAATTCGAGTCTTAAATTCTTAAAGCTGTTCCATAAAGTGTGCAAAAAAGAAAGTGAACCAGGGTTTTTAAAACAAACAAAATAACAAAAAATAATTGAATTCTGTTTTACATTCGGTTCGAATGGAAGTTCTACCAAAATCGACAAGGGATTGATCATTTACAACCAGTTTATCGCACCACTATAATGATTCATCAACAACTGAACACCAAATTGAATTTGAGTCTCAAAATTCAACATGTGAAGTACCAGAACTCGAAAATGTTGTTGAAGAACTGTTCAATTTTTGCTTTATACATTGAAATTCCTTTTAGTGAATATGAT